CTTTATTATTAGGGTTAGTTGTAAGGTATATATATACTCACTTTAATCAATATTTTTTTGTTTAGCAGCTTACACAAACAAGATACGTAAGGTTATTTCTCTTGCAGTCAAGGTATTCACGTCTGTTTACACAAACAAGCTTTCACGTCTGTTTCTCTTATGTTGTTAGTTTACAATTGACTATGATTAGAAAGTATCATCATCGTTCTTAAATTATGTCATAAAAATATGGTTTTTTTTGTGTCTTATGTTCTGTTCAAACTTGTATCATCGTTCACATGTTTGAGTCCTATGTTTTGTAAATTCTCTTGGTTTTCTGATTTTGTTAGTTGCTGTTGTAGACTGGATTGGTTATACAGTTCATAAGCTGGACTTGATTGGGACATAGTGATCTGTGGATTGTTTAGCTCTTGTGTCTTTACTTTCCTGTGTTCTAAGTTCTGTTTCTTATTATATTAGTTACTAGTTCTGATTATATAATGTTTGCCTTACATATTTGTTTCATTGTATGATTAGTTACCAAGGTACAATGGGAGATACACAAGATGTGAAAGCTAAAGGTCAATATAAACAATGGTCTGAGCCTGAACACAAGTTGTTATTGCGGCTGCTAGTGGACGCAGTTAATCAAGGTTTTCGTGATGCTAATGGCAAATTCAACAAACTGACGGTGGAAAGAAGAATATTACCATCTCTAAATAAACAGCTTGGAACAAATAAAAGTTACAACGAGTACAAAAATAGGCTCAAGAACTTGAAAGGTAAGTACAATAGCTTGAAAGATTTACTTCGTTTTAGTTCAGGATTTGGGTGGGATCCTGAAACGAAGAAGTTCACAGCTACAGATGAAGTATGGAATGGCTTTTTGGAGGTAAAAACATTATAACATACAACTTTAATATAGCATCGCTGCTTATGTATAAAACTAACCAATACAAATTTTTTAATATATATAGGCTCATCCACTTAAAAAAAATTTACGTGATGATACATTTGAAGATTTTGAGGACTTCAGAATTATATTTGAATCTATTACAGCAAGTGGACAGAATGCTGTGGGTTTAGGCGATCCAATTGATGGAGGTCCTAATCAAATTGGAGACACTGATGCGATAAATGAATCAAGTCGTGTCCAGATGGTGAATGATCTAGAGGGCATACCATACGATGAAAGATCAGTCCATGAAGTTTTCTCTTCACTAGAGAATAGTAGGTTAGAAAAGCTTCCTCCACGTAAGAAAGCTAGAACTGATGCATGTAATTCAAACAAAGCTTCTGATGAAGTGGATACGGTAGAAGAATTTGGTCATCAGATTTTTGGCATGATACAGAGAAGATGGGAAAAGGAAATTGAAGAAAAGGAAGCTGATGACAAAGCTAATAATGTGTGGGATGCTATCAAAGAAATTCCTGATTTGACTGACGATATGCGTTATGAAGCTATGACATTGGTTCA